GGTGCTCTCACAATTCAAGCATTCTCCCCTAGGGCTATGGACTGATGTTCATGTACCCCACAATTCATGTGTTAACACATAGCCGCCAATACAATGGTATTTGGAGATAGGGTCTTTAGGAAGTACTTAAGTTTAGATGAGATCATGACAGTGGGGTCCTTCTGATGGATTAGTGCCTTTATAAGGAGAGGAAAAGAGAGAGATCTTCCTCCAAGCAAAGGCTATGTGAGAGCCCAGTGAGAAGGCGGCCACGCGCTGGCCCGGAAGAGAGCCCTCACCAGGACTCAATCACGTGGGCGTCCTCATCTCAGACTTGCAGCTTCTACCCATTACCCAGCTACAAAGCCACTTTATGTGTTTAGGTATTTATTATAGCAGCACCCCTCTTTGTGGTACCAAAATCCATTTGTCAGCTTGGGCTGCCATAACAGAATACCCTAGAGTGGGTAGCATAAACAACAAAAATTTATTTCCTCACAGTTCTGAAGACAGGTATGCCCAAGATGGATATGGCTGGAGTGGACATGATGTAAGTCCCTCTCATAGACTACCCTGGGTTTCACGTGCCAAGGCTGTCCCAGGAGGGAAGCCAAAGGAGCAGAAGCATGTGGTGCAGGAATCCTGCCTTGACCAGAGCTCAGCCGTGTCATGTCCCCCAGCCCCCCTGCACACTTGTTATCCCACGCTCCTGTCCATCTGCAGCAGTGACTAAGGGCCCGGAAAGACACATACATGTTAATGGTGGTTATCTCTGGGTGACAAAAGTATGAATAATTTTTATATTTTAATATTTCATATAGCAAGCGCAAATTACTCTTGTAGTTGGAGTGGAAGAGTCCATTAATTTAATCAATTTAAATGTATGTCATGGACGGGCAGATCTTAGAGGAGGACCTTCTGAGCTTCCATTTTGCTCATCTGTAAAATAAGCCAAATGACTGGTAAAGTTCCTTCTAGCTTTGGCAGTCTGTGATTCAACAGATTTGCTTTTTAAGGGTGAAGAACAGGAGGGTAGCTTAAGAAGGTCACAGACTCTAAGGTATGCATGCAAAAAATCTTTAAAGCTGATCAAGTGCAAAGCTAGTTGCAGTGTATGAAATTTGTTTTCAGCACTTTGGGAGGCCGAGATGGGCGGATCACGAGGTCAGGAGATCGAGACCATCCTGGCTAACACGGTGAAACCCCGTCTCTATTAAAAAAAATACAAAAAACTAGCTGGGCGAGGTGGCTGGCGCCTGTGGTCCCAGCTACTAGGGAGGCTGAGGCAGGAGAACGGCGTGAAACCGGGAGGCGGAGCTTGCAGTGAGCTGAGATCCGGCCTCTGCACTGCAGCCTGGGCGACAGAGCAAGACTCCATCTCAAAAAAAAAAACGAAAAAACAAAAAAAATCAAAAAAAAAAAAAAAAAAGGAAAAGAAATTTGTTTTAATTTTTCGTTTGGATAAGAACAGAAATCACATTAACAGGAAACATAGTATCTGTTATTTGGGAGATGGGAATGATATGGTCCTTAGCTCTCTACCTAACAGGTGTCTGTGGGTATTCATTCAGAAACCCCTGCAAAGGTGGTGATTAGATGAAAGGAGATTTTAGATTCATCTGGACACTTCTGGAAAATGACTCACTCATCTATTTGGTGAACGTTTACAAAGCACATACCTCTGATTTGTTCTGAGGTATAAAGGTGCCTCATGCTATTCTCTGTCCTCAGAATCACCACAATGTTGTCATATATTTTTGACTACTTTCCCTTTTTAGAAGAACCTTGACAAATTTTTCTTAGATAAACATAACATTTTAATATAAAGACTCTCAAGTATTTGGTTGATGACGTAGTATGTTTATATTGGCAAAAACAATGTTGAGCTTCATGGAAATGTTAAATCTTAAAATTCCTTTTTTATTTTTTATTTTTTGGGAAGAAGCCTTGCTATGTTGTCCAGATTGGCCTCAAACTCCTGGTCTCAAGTGATCCTTCCATTTCAGCCTCCTAAGCAGCTGAAACTACAGGTGTGTACCACCATGTGCAGCTAAGATATCTTATACTAAGTTAAAATATATATATATTACCATTCTGAAATTATGACAATAGGGAATTCATTTACCTATGCTATCAATTTTCTATAAATTTTTAATGATTTTTTTCTTTCTTAGCATTTCTAAATGTATTTTACACTGTTGTAACATTGGCTAAAAATTTAAAAATCACTCACTGTTCCATCACTTCAACCAATAATTTGTTTTCACTCTTTTATAGTACGTTCCAGGCTCTCTCTGTTTATTTATGCGTGTAATTTTTATGTAGCTGTGTCTCATAGCTGACACATGTTTTGGGCTCCTGCTTCTTTAAATAGTGTCACATTACACCTGGGAGTGGTGCTCAGGGCATGTGCTCTGGGCATTATACTTGGGAGTTGTCCCTGCTGTTGCCTCATAGTCTTTGTAAATGACCATTTATAATAATTATGCAATATTCTACCAATCTGATGTGTGTGTGTGTGTGTGTGTGTGTGTGTGTATATATATGATTTTCTTTTTTAAAAAAACTACTTTACAAAGTTGTCCCAGGACAGCTTTATGTAATTTACAGGCTCCAGAAATAACCAAAACCCTCATCTGCCACAAAAATTCACCCAACTGCAATTGGATCTTTGGGCAAAGCCTTCCTTGCCTTCTCTTTGGGTTAAAGATAGTTTTGGGAAAGTGAATACTTTTAATCCCTAACATCTATATTGCTGATTGGTTTCATCGGTTGACTCCTCTACCCGAATAGAAAGATTAGGGAAGAGGGGAATGCTGGGGTTGGGGTGGGAAGAAATGAAGCAGAAAGAGAGGGACAGGTGACATAAGTACCAAAGATAAATGTTGCCTGCTTCAAAATGTTTCCTAGGGTTACTTCTGAGCACTGTTCCCTTGAAGACTTTAGGGACATCTGTTATCATTGTCTGTGTTTTCAGATGGAAAAGTAGAAGTCACTGAGGCTAAGTGACCAGTCAGAGGTCAAATGGCAGTGAGTGGTGGAGTCAGCGTGAGGATTCCTGTCTGTTGGCTTATTGTATTGGAGTGTTTTCTCCCATGAGCGCCTTTGCAGCCACTCATCAGCACCACTTTGACTCTCACAGTTGGGTGAGCTCCATAAAGCAGGCCAGGAAAAGCTTCCAGGGGTCAGGTCACCGGCAGTTTCTGGGACAACGCTTTGCTGCTGCTCCCAGTCACTACCCTTCACACTAAACCAGAAAACCGGCTACTCCAAGGTTACAGGACATCTATCCCTTCCTTCTGGGGATAAACTTATCCTCCTGCCTATGCCTATCCCCAAGCCCAGCCAGTAGAAAATAATGGAATAGTGTGTGACCTTTATGGGCCCCTCTGAGGTAGGAAAATGTACTTGGCAAGGTAGTCAGTCTAGTGTGAAGCACAGGGGCTGTGGAATCAGCTCAGTGGCTTTGATGCCGGGTTCTATCCCCATCTAGCCCATTTAGTGCCTTTGTTCATGTTAGAGGAAGGTGTCCCCTCTGGTGGGTGCAGCCCTGCCGGCATGTGGCTGGGCAAGTGAAACGCAGGCTGGATTTTGGCCTCTATCTATTCATTTAGCTGCCAGTGGAGCAGTGAGTGACTTACGCAACTCTATGTAAGTGCCCTATCCAGACTTTACTATTGGCCGACCTGAGCAGGCTGCTTGACCTTTCTGAGCCTTGGTTTCCCCATCTGTAAAACAGACAAAATAACAGTACCTGCTTCAAGGGTTGGCAGGAAGTTAAATGAGATGGTGAGTGTAAAACACCCAGGAAGGTGCCCTGTGAGTAGGAAGCCAGTGTTCTATAAAATGGCAGCTGTTATTACTAGCTGTTACACTTATGGCTTGGCTTTATAAAACAAGTAAAGCCTATACTTTTTAATACTCTGTTGAGCAACTTGATTTGCCTAGACACGTATTTTGTAAATGGTGGGCAATTACGAAAAAGGGAAGCAAGATTCATAATAGATTATTTGTTATCATTTTAATATAAAGGTTATGATGATTTTTTTTGGTTGCACCATCTGAAGTAGGCATATCTGATATAGAATTTCTAATTACATGTTTAGTTCAAGAGAGAGTCATTTATAAGTTCACACCCTGACACACCCATGCCCCTGGAGAAAACTTCAGATTTTGTGGGATGTCTTGGGCATTGGGACAGACAACTCCATTCAAGTTATTATTTGGTAAATTCTTGCTCTGTTTCCTACAGTAGGATGAGTGATAGTAGGATGAGTGATACAATGAATAATTCAGAAGCAAACACCGAGGAATGTCTGATTTGCATAGGCTCATAAATGAGTCTCCTAAACTGGGTTTCAAAAGAAAAAAAAAAAAATGTGCTCTCTGGTAGTTCTCAGGCCAAGTGAGGTCCCAGCGTGTTTGGTCGGCAGCTCTGCTATTCACCCCACCAGGACCCAATATACAGTATTCTATTATTTAATTATCTTGGTTGGAAGGGGACACATATAATTTAGCCCTGGGAGCTTTAAAAAAATTCCTGACAATTAATAAATAGAAGAGTCTTTTGTGTGATTTTAAAGTCACCGGAGGGCAGACATAAATTGTCAACTTACCTAAAAGAGAAACATTCGCCTTTTCTAGAGAGGCTCACATCGGCTTCCAGGGAGTGCATCATCCATAATTTAGCATAACTGCTTTGAAAATAAGTCTATAATCCTTAAATAACTCTGTGGGTCTCTTGCCTGGAGTCTTCCTTTCAACTTCTTTCATAGAAGAATTTATAATCAAATAATAACACTGATTTTAAAACAAGCAACCATACATCCATCACTCAAGAACTCACTTAAGGTTTGGGGGGAGCCGTTTCAAAACAAAGCAGCAACAACAGCAAAACTCACCATGGTAAAACTTTAACAGAGGAGAGCACCTAAGGACTCGGTGACTCAGTGTTAAAGGGATGGGAAGTCAGGTCATTTCCGATTATTGAGGCCTTTTACTTCCGGTTTCTCAGGCTCAAATGAGAAAGGAGTGAGTCAGAAGGTGGGCATAACCCTGTAAATCTCCGTGGCAGGGTGCCGTACTGTGTCTCAAGCCATTCAGAAGGGAGCTGTTTGTAGATGGTGACTCCTTCAGGTAACTGCTTGCTGAAGTGAATGCTTGAGAGAGTTTGGTTTTTGAGCAGAAGGAGAAGAATTTTGTGTCTGTCTTGGGAGAGAGATGGTGGAGGGTGGATGAGGAAAATAGAAGGGGAAGGCATAAAGTCCCGTCTCTTTTGCTCCCCCTCCCCATCCCCAACACTTATACAGGTTCACACTGGCTGGAGGGGCTTCTCCAGAGCCCAAACCAAAGCACCTAGTTTCCAAGCTTGCAGCTTTGGGAATCTAGATGACAAGCCCAGCATGGGGTGGTGGATCGGGCTAGACTTCCCACCTCTACTTTGCTTCCAAAGGCAAGGCAACTTTTGTATTTAGACTCAGGGCAGCCGCAAGCCTTCCTTCTTAAGTAGCGCATCATTATAATTCAGCATGAATATCAGTGTGACTTGTTGCCACTCACAGGCTGAGTCTGGTGAGGTCTGGGCTATTTTGGTTTTAGAAATAATTTATAAATCATTTAGAAATATTTATAAATGACTTTAATGTACACTATCTAATTTAATCCTCCCAATGACCTTGAGGAGAGTACTACTGAAGAGACAGGGACTCAATGGCTATAAGTCTTTTTTTTTTTTCTTTTTTTTTTGAGATGGGGTCTTGCTCTGTCACTCAGACTGGAGTGCAGTGGCGCGATCTCGGCTCACTGCAACCTCCACCTCCTGGGTTCAAGCGATTCTCCTGCCTCTGTCTCCCAAGTAAGTGGGACTACAGGCACATGCCACCACACCTGGCTAATTTTTGTAATTTTTAGTAGAGATGGGGTTTCCCATGTTGGCCAGGCTGGTCTTGAACTCCTGACCTCAAATGATCCACTTGCCTCAGCCTCCCAACGTGACGTGCTGAGATTATAGGCATGAGCCATCGCGCCTGGCCTGGTTATAAGTCTCAGGGTGACAGAGCTGGTGTGGGCTGAGCTGGAGCAGGGACCTCCAGGAGACCTGCACTTAACAGGTGACCAGTGCACCCTACAGCCACCTGGTGAGTACCTCTCTGTGTCACAAGAACACTTTCTAGCCAGTGTTTTACATATTTCCTGGATAGCTGGGAATTACCAGTAGGTAGAGTATGGCGCTGCACACTGGTGATTATGAATGCTGTTGGCCATGGGTGTTAGATGTCATCGTGTGCCAGGCCCCTGAAGAACATAATCTGTTCTCATAGTTCCTCTAAAACTTTGTTTTCAAAACAGGTCTCATCTTTCCTTACTTCTGCCAGTGTTCTCATTCTTGATTTTACATTTGGAGCACAGAGAATCTAGACAAAATTAAGAAGAAATTGAAAATTGAAAAAAATCAATAAAATAAAATCCTGAACCCATGAATGATCAAATTTTACTTCAAAATTTAACTCAAAAGGGATAGTTGTTCTGGCCTTCAGACATGCTTTGTAAGAAAAAAAAGGATGGTTGTTTATGCCGTGATGGACTAATTGCATAGGTAAACATGTGAGGAATCCTCATTTTATTTCTTACGCTAAAATGAGAATCCCTGTAAATCGGAATGTAGTCTTTCTTACTGAAAGGTTTCACTGTTCAGCTCTGCTTATCCATCAGAATCACATGGGAAACGGCAAATCACAGAGGCCCGAGCTCAACCCTATTCCTACCGAATGGAATCTCTGGAGGTGAAGCTGTTTTAAAATTTTCCCAACCGGTTCTGATGCGTACCAGAGTTAAGAATCAACCAGTGCACTGAACTGGCAATTTTAGCAAAAACCCAAGGAACCCAGGGGCCTATGCAGAAAGCAGGAAATGCCCTCTAGTGGCCAAAGGACGCCATCATCCATTCTCCATGCTCTTGGGCCCTGGGACCCATGGCAGAGTTAGAGAGGTGTGAACAAAAGTTCCTGTTGTAAACTACAGTATAATCCACTGATTCCACCAATATGGCCCTAAAACTTAACTGTAAGACCCATGAGGACAGGATCCACTTGTTCTTGTCTTGCCCATGAGGGTGCCTGGCATAATGTCTGACCCATTGTGATGGAAAATCTAAAATTAAGGCTCAATTTTATGTGTTGCCTATTAAGCATCAATTTTACATGTTGCCTTGACATATATGGTAAAATCAGGAGGGTATCAAATGGCCTAACTGCAAGTTTCTTCTCCCCTGTTCAGCTCCCATGAATAAGGTCCCTTAGCCAAATAGTCCTCCTCATCAAATCAACCAGACAGAGTTCCTGTTTATCCCGGACTAGTGGGTTCTCTGCCTGCTTAGGGAATTATTCAGACAAGTCAATCACATCCTCCCACAGGAACTAGGCCACCTCACCCCCTTGATTCTCCAAATCCTGCCTCCATGGCACTTGGCTCTTCACTCTGACCCTGAGTGCAACCCTGTGTGACCCTGCATGGCATGGGGTATCTTCCTCCCCTAGGCTGTGACTTCATGTGACTAACAAACTACTATCAATCTCAACTGTCTAGTGTGAGCTGTTGTGTGTTCAGCTATCCCCACAATCCTGGAGTGAAAATTGCTCTCACCAAAGAGGAGGCAATCAAAACATCCATAATAAGTGTTCTGTAAATATTTGTTAAATGAATGAATGAGACCAAAGGGCTCTTGACAAGTTTAAATACCTTTATTTTATTGATTTATTGTCAATTTGCATACACTTTCAAAGTGATCATAGGCACAAATGAACAATTCAATGAATGTATTCGTAGAATGTTAAGGCTGGAAGATATCTTAGAAATCATCAGGATTAACCTTCTTGTTTTATTTCTAAGACAACTACTACTCAGACAAGATCACGAATTCCTCAAGGAAAGTGGCTATGTTTTATTTATTTTTATATTCCCTTGACTCAGCACAGAACTGGTGTACAGTACATGTTTGATAAATGAATAAACAAGGATTAAGTGAATTTCCCTGGAGTACATGGTAGGTAATGACACCAACAAGGATTTAATTCCAGAATTCAACAGATATTTGTCAAATATCTTCTGTGAGCCAGGTGCAGTGGCTCACGCCTGTAATGCCAACACTTTGGGAGGCTGAGGCAGCAGGACCGTTAAGCTCAGAAGTTCGAGACCAGCCTGGGCAATATAGTGAGAACGCGTCTCTAAAAAAAAAAAGAAAATTTTTTTAATTAGCTGGGCGGGGTGATGCATGCCTCTAGTCCCAGCCACTAAGGAGGCTGAGGCAGAAGGATTGCTTGAGCATGGGAGTTTGAGGTTGTGGTGAGCTGGGATCACACCAGTGTACTCCAGCCTGGGTGACAGAGTGAGACCCTGTCTCAAAAAAAAAGAAAAAAAAAAAGTCTTCTGTGAGATACAGTATCTTGCTAAGTACTCTCTGAGAATGCAACTAGGACTCCAGGCATGGGCTACAAAAATGAGAAAGACACAGTCCCTGCCCTCAAAGAACGGATACTCTGCAGATGTGCTGTCCAGTACGGTAGCTTCTAGTGACATGAGGCTATGTAAAACAAAATTAATTAGAATTAAAAATCCAGTTCCTCAGTTAAATTAGTCACATTTCAAGTATTTAATGGCTAAATGGTGGCTAGTGGCTACCATATTGAACAACAGAGATACAGAATATTTTGATTGCTGTGGAAAGTTATATGGGATAGTGTTGCTATAGAGAGAAAAATGTTATGAGCCTGAAGCCCTAACAGAAGGCAGAAGATGATAACAGAGGTACAAATTAATTGCCACGGGGTCAGAGAGGATTGTTTCAGAAAGTCCCCACATGATTCCAAGTTTTCTGAAGACAGGGACTCTTTGGCTCCTAGCACGTAGCATAATGCCTGACTCATAGAAGATGCTCAACCCATTTATTGAATGAAAATAAACTACCCATAGCAGTAGTGTTTTTTTCTAACATTTCAAAAATGAGAGTATAGAGAATAATATGGCCATCATCAATGTAACCACAGCCCAACTTTATAAAATTTTAACATTTTGCGTATTTGTTTCAAATATAGAAAAATATGTATATATTCCCTTAACACAAATACAAGATCTGAAACAAATATATACTACAATTTATCTGTTCTACTTTAAATGGAAATGTATCGTATTTCCAGTTTTTATGATTACCAATAAAGCCATAATGAACATTCTCATAAGCGTTTTTTATGGAAACATTCAGAGTTTATTCCTAGAAGTAGTATTGCTAGGTCTGAGGTTATATGAATCTTCAACTATTCTGAACACTGACAAGCTGATTTCCAAGGGGATTAACTGATATATACTCCCATCTGCATTGTATGAATGTTCTCATTGTTCTGCATTCTTGTCAACACTCAGTATTGTCAGGCTTTTATTCTTTGCCAATCTGATAATGTGAAAAGATACACTGTAGTATTTCTGAGGATGTTAAAGGCATAAGAACAAGGCAAAAAACCAAAAACAACAACAACAAAAAACTACCCTGTTATAATCCTGGCATTGGGGTATAAGAGAAATAACAGAGTTATTTGCTTTTCATGTTGTAATGAGAAAATTGGCACTAGGTCCAAAGTAGCGACTGACCTTCAAGATAAGCAAAACTGCAAGAACAGTATAAGACAGTTTTATCATGCTCTGCCTCTTTGCCACTACTAGGCATAGGCCAGGACACTTTTAAATAGAATTTGGAAATCAGAATATTTTCAGCATGTTTGCAGTGTGTTATATATTCTTCCTAGCGTAAACATAATTTATTTCCTCATGTGTCTCATTAAATGCACCCCAGGAGAAAATATTCACAGACTATGCATCCAGCAAAGGACTGATATCCAGAATCTGCAAGGAACTCAAACAAATCAGCCAGAAAAAAGCAAATAATCCCATTAAAAGTGGGCAAAGAACATGAATAGACAATTCTCAAAAGAAGATACACAGCCAATAAACATACGAAAAAAATGCTCAACATCAGTAATGATCAGGGAGATGCAAATTAAAACCACAATGAGATACCATGTTACTCCTGCAAGAATGGCCATAATTTAAAAAGTGCGAAAACAATAGATGTTGACACGGATGTGGTG